ATGTCATGTATGCTTTGTATGTCATGTATGCCGAAATTGTTGAAGTGGATGCATCCGGAGGAGGAGTTTGGGGTTTTTGTAGCTTCTTGTAAACCCCCAGCTTCCTCTTGAGCTGCTTCAGCTCCACCGACGTCTTCCCTGGGGAACGAGTAGTCGTTGTGGGCTCGTGTCGGGAGAGGACGTTGACTCCGTGGAAAAGTCGGCTTCTTTCCACACTCCTTAATTTTTTCCCCAAGTTGTCCGGTACCGGTATAATCTCCACAGCTTTTTGCTTCTTCTGGAATCCCTCCCGTATTTTCTCCAAGGCTCTAGCCCCTCGAGAATCATAAGTTTTCATTAAAGCATCTTTATAGGATAACTTTAACAAATCCTTATAATTTCTTGGGTCTTCAAGGAGTTTCCCCGTCTCGGCAAAGTCTTTTTTCGCGGATTCGGTTTTCTTCTCGGCGAATTTCCCTGGCGAAGACTGGTCGTGGGGTGGAGATTTTCCCCCATTTTTTTCCTCCTTCTCGCGTCGAATCAGCTTCGTCGAAGTTGATTTTCCCGGAATCCCGCGGCCGCTTCCGGATCTTTTCTTTTTCGCCAGCTAGATCCGCAATCACTGGCGACTCCCGTTTTTTTTCTTCTGATTGGCCGAAGGATTTCCGCCACTGTTGCGTGCCCGATACTCTACGCGTGCGGCTTTCATTTTTTTGCAGTCAAAGATTCAATGGCCCCCCTCACCTCGCCTCCTCCGTCCTTGCTTGTTTTCGCTCCGCCTCCTCTGTCTGACTTCCTTCGTGCCACTAATCCTTTCGTTCCTTGGGTCCTTGCCTCCCTCGTTACCGACCCGTCAATCCCTGCCTCCAGTCTTGACGCTCTTGTCGCTGCTGTCGTTGACTTCGCCTCTACCCGCCGCCTGGACTACACCACCGCTCTTGTCTCTGACCCTGTCTGTCCTCCGTCTGTTGGGGGTGCGTCTACTCTTGGCAGTGACGTCCTAGAGGACAGGCAGTTCGAGCTTGCTTTCCTGTCCGAGGCTGCTCCCCATCTCTGCTCCATGCTGCTAGTCCATGAGGGTGACCCAGACGCCTTTGACATCCCGACCCCTCGCACTTACGCTGAGGCGACCTCGGGACCCTGGGCCTCTCAGTGGATAGCTGCCATGGAGCAGGAGATGGCATCTTGGAGATCCATTGGCACCTACATCGACGCAGTTCCCCCACCTAGGGTGAACGCAGTCGACGGCTGGTGGCTCTTCAAGGTGAAGCGCCCCCCAGGAGAGCCGCCTGTGCTCAAGGCGTGCTACGTGGCTAGAGGCTTCAGTCAGCGTGAGGGGGTGGACTACTTTCAGACCTTCGCCCCTGTTGGTGCAACCCTATGGCTTGCACTCGGCTTGTCGTCCTTGCTTGTGTGTGTGCATGCATGGCATGGAATGAATTGTGAGTCTATGTCATTGCTATCCAGTGCTTGTGTGTGTGTTTGAATGGTGTATCACAATGTGGTTTGTGTCGGTCAAGACATTAGCGAGTTTTTACAACTCGCATGTCAAGTCGTCGTTTGCGTGTCGCATGTGTTTTTTCTATTTTGTCGAGTGTGAAGTGTCCATTGTGTCGCAGGTGTGTGCAGCAAGCCCCCATCAACTCAAGAAGAATTTATCTTGCAGAACCAAGACCAAGAGCTCAAGATTTCAAGCCCAAGGGACGCGGATAAATATTAAATAGTGAAAATAGTAACGTTACTTCGTGTAGTGTTACATTTCACTTGGTGTAGCCCCTTGGAGGGTTGGTTTCGAGACTCTTCATGGTTGGGGACTCTCTGGTGGTGTACCACCAACCTGGACCTCGGCTCTTGGGGTATGTAGAGGCTGGGAACCATCTCCCTCTCGAACTCTTCTTGCTAAGTTTGTACTTCCAAGACTATAGTGGCTGCTATACCTCCTGCCAGTAAAACCGCCATAGCGTCGTCAAATCTGCATGGAATTTCATGATTCAACTTGCTGGTGATAGACGACAGCAACTCGCTCCAGATCCAATTTACAAATCACAGATTGATTTAGCGACCAGGTCGTTATGAATATTTGAAGCCGTCTGACGGAAATCCGACTGTGCTCTCTATCTCTCATTATAGGCACATCTAAGCCTATTGTGACTATAACAGCCCCGACCCCAAAGATGACTACTCTTCAGGCGTTACTACACGTAGCAGCACAGCGTGACTACGAGTTACACTCCCTCGACTTCTCCACTGCGTTTCTTCAGGGCAGCCTACACGAGTAGGTCTACCTGCACCGTCCCCAGGGCTTTACTGGTACCTTCCCTCCCGGAACCAAGTGGCTCCTTCGGCGCCCAGTCCACAGCCTGCGACAGGCACCCCGTGAGTGGCATGACACGCTGCGTGCTACGCTAGCTGGCCTGCAGTTCTTTCTGTCCTTTGCAGACCCCTCGCTCTTCGTTCGTGTTTGCCAGACTCCGTTCTACATCCTTGTCTACGTAGATGACCTGGTCTTCGCTACTGCAGACAGAGACGCGCTGGCCTCCGTGAAGGCTGAGCTGATAAGGAGCCACACCTGCACTGACCTAGGAGAGCTGCGCCACTAGCTTGGCCTGCAGATCTCCAAGGCTAGCGCAGCGTGCACCATCACTCTTACACGGTCACACTTGGTGTGCCAGGTCCTTCAGGGGTTCGGTCTTCAGTTCTCCTCCGCACAGCCCACACCTCTGCGAGTAGATCACAAGCTCTCAGCTCCAGTTCCTGAGGAGTCGGTAGAGCCCAGTGGTCCTTACGCAAAGCTGGTGGGTTGCCTCATGTACCTGATGACTTGCACTTGTCCAGATCTCGCATACCCTCTCAGCATCCTGGCTCGCTTTGTGGCCACAGGCAGACACCGACCACAGCACTGGTCGGCCGCTAAGAGGGTTTTGTGCTATCTAGCAAGTACATTGGGCATGGGGTTAGTGCTGGGAGGACGCAGTCCAGTGGTCCTTACTGGGCACACAGTCGCTTCTGGGGCAGACGACGCTGAGACCCTGAGGTCCTCCCAGGGCTACTGCTTTAGCCTTGGTTCAGGTGCCATCTCGTTGAGGTCCACTCGCTCCTCAGCTGTTACCCAGTCTAGCTGTGAGGCTGAGATCTACGCCTGTGCCATGGCGGCAAAGGAGCTCCGCTGGCTGGCGTTCTTGTTCACCGAGTTAGGTGAGCGGCCTAGTTCTGCCCCGGGTTTGTACGCTGACAACAGGGCCATGATCCTCCCGTGTCAAGAGCCTCGACTTGGGGGCAGAGCGAAGCACATCCAGCTGCGGTACTTCCTCCTGCGCGAGCTACAGTAGTGCCGCCTGGCCCGCGTAGTACACTTGGCCTCCGGTGCCAACACAGCTGATATCTTTACTAAAGTGCTTGTGCCTAAAGATCATCAGCGACACTGTTTGCAGCTTGGTCTAGTTCTTGTAGACTCTCACTTGCTATGATCTTTATTGTGTACTCCTCTTTATAGATATCTTTTAGACTGGCCTTGTGGCTTCTCTTCTAGTGGCCGGACTAGTAGTGCCGCTCTGGTTTGGTCTTGTCTTGTTTGTACTCTTGCTGACTGTTCTTCGTACCCCTGTCTCAAAGGTTGGACTAGTGGTGCCACCCTGAGCTGTGTGCTTCTTGCTCAGCACTACCCCTTATCTAGCCTAGGGGGTGTGTCAACTTATATATACATTTGCATATAGAAGTTATAAGCTAGAATAGGTGTGTGTTCTTAGAGAGTACAAACCAAATCCTATACCGTAATCCCCCGTATATAACACCCGCCGAAATAGTCACTCCGCGCGTGGTTTATGCGGGGGAGAGCTTATGATAGGGTGAATTTAGGAGAGCACCCGCTTTTCAGGGGTTGCATTTTACATAACACCCTCCTCGTTTTATGCAGCAAAGAATAGTATTTTGTAGTTTTTCAAGCTCAGCTCGATTGAGAAAAAAAAACGAACAGGATGAAAAACGCAATGTCAACCACCATTAGCAGCAAAAAAACGGGCAGAAACATCAACACAAGTTGCAGCGCGAAATCGAAACGTCAGCAAAGGTCGAGACTCGGGAGGATTTCGAACGTCAATGTCACGGTTTCTGTTTTGATTTGACGGTCAGAATCCTCCCGAGCGAAATCCTCCCGTCGAAGTCGCGGATTCTGTTGCGGTCATGACGGTAGCAGGTGCCGCACAAACCTGGCCCTGACCACATCACTCAGCAGGGATTGGCCAACGACGACTGGTTTGTGAGTTTCGTCTTAGCGGATGCTGTACCTCGCAAACAGTCACTCCGCACATTTGTGAACACACATGGCATGAAACCTCAAATTCAAATTGCATTTTACATAACACATGGGCACTAATTTTTTCCGGGCCACTGTTAACACCCAGTCATTTTTTTAGTGATTTTTTATATACACCATAGGGTGTTATATACGGGGGATTACGGTATCTCCCTTGTTCCCTCTTCCTTCTAATCATTACGTTATTCTAACACATCCAATTTTACACAAGATACTCAAACACTAGTCAAGTATTGCATTCCTGACATTTGCATCTAACACTACCTCAGATTGTAGGTGCCACTGATATACGTTTTCAACTCCAACATTCAAACAATGATGTAAATCCAAGATCCCGGGTGTTACACAATGAAGTGGAATCCATTGTGAACTCTACAACCAAATGGCAAGACAAATGCACAACCAGCCAGACTCGGCTTGCACCTAGCTGAACCAAACAAAAGCACGCAGCTGATGAGTGACATTGTCCCATACCGCGCGCTCCTGACTGGAGGCGATTCTGAGTGGCAGCCTAGGAACACGCCCCTACACATGGTTTTTAGTGCCAAAAACTCTCCCCAATCACCTCGAGTTCTGCATCAAGACTTGCCACACCTGCAAAAGCATCTATCTTCCCCAGCACCTGGGCATCCACCTTCAAAGTACCACACCCGTTACAACTTTAGACAGCATTTTCGTTTGAAAAGCTCTCTCCAATCATCTGGAGTTGCGCCTCAAAACTTTCCACATCTCCAAAATCATCCTTCATCTTCTGGACCTGCGCATCCACCTCAAAGGCAGAGTACCATATATTAGTCTGATAGAATCATCCTGGGCTCTACTTGAACATCAAACGATGGTGTCCATCCAATATTATACTTGCTATGCTACTACTGGAGCGGAATCCAGACAAGCGGCCAGCCAAACTTGGCTCGTACCAAACACGCGACTGACTGTTGGCATTGCACCGTGCTGCACGCGGCTGGCTGGAGGCCAAGGAACACGCCACTAGACTGGGCTTTTGGGCCCCAATCATCTGAACTCCGCACCAAGACTGTCCAAGTTTGCGAAAGCATCCTGCATCCGGGCATCCATACTGTTCAGGTTTTGCACCTGCGCATCCACCTTGACCGCAGCGCTCCTCTCGTCTTTCCCCGCCACCTCCTCCCAAATGGCCTGCAGCTTGTTGGCAACGTGAGCCATGGCTGGGCGGCTTGCAGTGCGCTCCACGGTGCAGCTGATCGCCAGCTCAGCCACGCGCAGCACAGCATGCCCAGGGGCGTCCATCTTGGGATCCCTGAGGCTCCCCATATCACCCTAGGACACACACTCGGATGCCTGAGAGAGTGGAGGAAGGTGGAGGAAATATCAAGCGAGGAGTGATGAGTTGAAGGCAGTTTTCAACCAGTTTTTATCACGTTAACTGCGGAAGTATATTCATGTTAAGCTGGCCACGGTACTCACCCATGGGGTTATCTGTCTGGTTTCTCCAGTAGCAGACTCAGTGAGTGGAGCTTGTCTGGTGAGGACCACAAGCATGAGCACACCGAAGCTGCAAAAGGCAAGAGATGGTGAGAGCAACAAGATGCAATTCATAAGACAGGAATTTAGGTGGATCCATGCTTGTGAGTTGCTTGCGAGTTACTAACACTGCCTCCACAAGCCAATGCAAAAGTAGTGGCTGATTGATTCTAGAACGATTTCAAATTTTATACGAGACTTAGTTCACCTGTAGACGTCGCTGGCAGGAGTTGCCTTGGACGTCCTGGAGTAAACTGGATCCACATAGCCCGGTGTTCCCATGATCCGAGTGGTGCCCACTGTGGTGCCCTCTCCCGCCCTCACAAGCCCAAAGTCTGCGATCTTGGCCTGGAGAGTGATACGGTCATAGCAACAAGGGAAAGGTGACAGAGAAAATATAAGATTGATTGAAGAAATTGACTCTTAATTAGATTCCAAAGTGTGAATAGCCCTTGAAAAACCATCCAGATACAATACTTGGGCCAACAATTCCATGTCCCCCCTGTTCGATCGTTTAACTCAAGGCTTTTGTTTTACCTTTCTTGACACAATCCGATGCTGTTACGATACAAACAAGCTTGCCTGCATGTCAGAAGTGATGAGGATGTTGGCTGGCTTGATGTCACGGTGCACAATGTCGAAGCTGTGGAGGTACTCAAAGCCACGTGCAATGCCGATCAGAATGTCCAGCCGCTGCTTAAAGTTGAGAGGGTTGGATGCTTCTGCAGGAAAGCAGGCAGCCATTTTTATGACATCATGGAAGAATATGAGTGACATAGGTGATGCAACGTGGCAACATAGCAAGATAGCGACATCGACTTATGTCCACCGCAATTGAAGTGTGCTGAAATCCACAAAACATGCGGTTTGCAGAAAAATCACACTGGGTTGACAAATCAACCGCACACTGCATGCTCATGAGCCTAGATGTTCTGCGCTCACAGCAGGTGCAGAGAAGAACCTGCATTTCCACCAGCTATTCTCCAGAGAAAGGATGGATATATTTTCTCCCAGAGATATGGATAGGCAACAAGCAGGCGGACCCATTATTATGCGTTAGTGGACCCTATGTTAAACTTTTCTCAGGGATCAATTCGGGTAAATGGCATAACATACGTGGCACGTCCAGCCACTTTAGAAGTTATTTTGGAGTCAGCCAACAAATCGCCTCAAAATACTGATTGATTGGTTCCATACTGACAACCATTTCCATAGTTGGTGATGCGCCTGATTGATTCTTTTCACACACTCTTGCATTGGAATCGCATAGGACCTAGGCTCGCGCTATTCTCACATATGCTTACATATTAGCACTACGAGGCATACACACCGCCACTTCCCCAAAAAACTGCGACGTCTCTTGTGCTCCAAGGTTGCTATAACCGAGTGATGCAATGCAATGATATTTCCTGCTTACCGGGATCGATCCACTTGTGCAGGTCACCGTTGGGCACGAACTCGTAGATCAAGATCTGCTCGATTTTCACCCTTAGGTCCCCTCCAACCGCAAACCCCAGCAGCCGCACAAGGTTGGGATGGTTCTTGTCGGCCATTTGCAGGATCTGGAAGAAGAGGAGGTCAGCAAAAAATAGAGGAGAAATATAGTGAACTGAGAGAATGAAGACTGATTTAGGATGCAAAGAGCAAGGACCAATAGAAATGGACAAAATAGAGGACCGAGATGTCCTCAAACTTGACTTTTTTTATTTTTATTGCAAACTTGGTTTAACCAGTATACCTCCATGGGATATTTAGGTGTTGTTCTCTTGTTTCTCCTATTATTTCTGCTTTACTACTTTTCTGCAGTCCAGCCATCCCCCTTATATGCAACGCTCTCACCTCCCGCTGAAAGTCCACGTCGATCAGCTTGGCTCACTTCACAGCCCACACAGTGGTGCCATCGCGGGGAGACACGCCCTTGTAGACATCACCAAAGGCACCCGAGCCTAGCTGGTTGTCCTCCGACCAGTCATTGGTGGCCTTGAGGACCTCAGCCAGAGAGAACCCGGTGCAGTGCTTAGCATCCAGGCTGGTACCCAGGCCTGTCCATGGTGAAGGTTAAAGGGAGGCACATGCAGCGAGAAGCTTGCCCCTCGCTTGATGCTATGCTGAAAATAACTGCATGAAACCGCAAATATAGTTGTTAAATCAAGAGAAAGAACTCTTTGCAGCTCCTTTGTTTCCTTACCTTTCCTCTTCTGCTGCATCCTGTGCCTGAAGTAGAGCAGTGCGGCAACCAGAAGCAGGAGAATGACCACAGCAGCGGCAGCGATACCAATGATGACTCCCACCGATACACCTCCACCCCCGGATGGTGCTGCTGATGAAGACTCGGGGCTACTGCCGCTGCTGCTGCTGGGGCTGCTGCTGATGTTTGTGGCTGATTTAGCACGGGCATAGTACAATGCAATGGGCAGTGGAACCAGTTTATTCCGACCACAATTTTGAAGAAGGTTCAGCAGAGCAGAGTTACAAACCAGACATGAAGAGCAGTACTGATAAGAGTCAAACTTGCATAGGGAAAGAAAGATCATGTGGGGTGGGGCGGTGAACCAAATTTTTTGTGCTCGACATGACTTATATCAATGCTGCAGATCCATGGTTTCACGCACTCTCTTGGTTGTCTAAAGAAAGAGCTACAACAAAACGTCCTTGGCACGGCATCCACAGCTTGTGTCATGGCTTGGCACATGAAGATTTTTCACCAACACTGAATTGTGCATCTTCGTCTTCTCTGCTTGCCTGGTGCTGGTTTGACGCAAGTGCTGCAGAAGGAAGGGCACATCTAGCAGAAGGCTGTCTTGTTCCACTGTTTTAGACCACAGTCAGTGTATTCAGGTGGGCACGTGAGGTTTGTGCTGCTGATGTTGCTGCGGTGGAAAGGGAGAAGAGAATGAGGGATGCAAGGGTAATAGCCACATAGACCAATACAATTACATTTGATGTTGCAAAACTCCTCATGATTCTTTCTCCGTACTGTAGTATACCATGCATTATGCATAGTTCACTCACATGCGTGGACCATTACATATGAGTTCATATTGTGGGTGGTTGGTTGGTTCTTCACGTACAGTGAATCGAGGGAAGTGAGACGTCCAAGGAAATTTGGGAGCGTTCCATTGAGGCCTGTGTCATTGACTCGCCTGCCACAATGAAAAAGAGGTGCGCAGCTTGAAGACTGTCATACACATCCAAGAGAAGGGCCACAATTTAATCCCATTGGGATATGGGCACGCTCAACTGAGACTGAGCAAAGGGCCAAGCCGTGCTTGGCTCTTCCAGCTCGACTCATCCCAATGGCGAGCCGAGCCAAGGATTTATTGCAACGGCCCGTGGCCAGCTCGACAAGCCGCGAGTTGGGCCCGGCTTTCTGGCTCGTCAACTAGGCAGGTCGTGGATCTGGCGGGTAGGGATTTGGAGGGCTTGAAGCAAAATAGAAACATTGACAACGAATGTGGGCCATCAGTTGAGTCGATCAACCCAGTGTCTATGTGTGCAATGTGTGAAACGGCATTATTAAGGGAGTTCTTACAAAAGTTTTAGCCCAGTGAGCCAGCTGATGCTGTTGGGAATGGAGCCAGTCATAGTGTTGGACGAGAGATCCCTGAGTGGCATGGATTGGAAGACGTGATGCAAGGGGTTGACAAGACGAGCATGGTGGAGAGCACTGATGGAGAACGTTCTGCGTCGGAATAAATGCAAATGAAAGCAGCTTTAGTGGATGGCAGGAGGAAGAGAAAGGTGCGAACAAGGATGGGACAGGGAAGGGGATGGTAGCTGGGAGGATGATGGGGTGGACAAGGAAAAAGGGGGGAGGGCCATGCGGATGGGTGCATACAGGGAAGGCAAACGGGAGGTGGGAGATGAAATGGGGCTTCGTTATGGAACCATTGATCTAGCAAGGAGAGACAGCCATCTGCTTTCAAAGGAAAAGATGGGCTGAGTGGGGCACAAGGGGGGAAGGAGGGAGCAAAGGGACGGGGATGGTTGCTGGGAGGACGCTGGGGTGGACAAGGGAAAGGCGGGGAGGGGCACTCGGATGGGTGCACATATGGAAGGTGAATGGGAGGTGGGAGATGAAACAGGACTCGCCTGGCTCTGTTCAGCAATGCCAAGAATATGGCCAACACCCCTTAAACGAAAGCAGCTCCCTCCCGCTTCTACAACAGTGCACCATTCAAACGAAATGTGGATCCTCGACTGCTCCCTACTTCACACGACCTCAAGTAAGTCCAAGTTACCAAGGTTTCTAATGCCAGCTAGAATGGGTCTAGTAAGCTAAGTTCCTTGCCAAGCTTTTGTGTGGAAGAGGGTGAAAACCGGGCATGAATACTGCTCTGTTGATCTCCAGACTAGAAGGTGTGTGTAATAATCAGTGCAATGAGACTGATAAAGTATAATGACGTGTTATAGGTAAACTTCGCTGTGCACACGAATCACGACTCTGCATGGTCCGCTGCAGCACGGCCTGGTGCTCGAGGTCTGAGGACATGGCTACGCCGAGCTGGTGGCCACCTCGCTCACGCGTGATGGACCTGAAGCCACATGACCACCTCACTCAGCAGTTGCCCTCCCATTTCGGCTGAGGCGGGCGACTGGCTACTGCTCGTCCCCTTTCGCCACTCGCTTCGCGACCGCTCTTACCTTAAACCTAGGCCTCCGCTTCCCCGGGGTGGATGCTGCCGCCTCAGCAAGAGTCGGCTGAGCCCGGGCTCGCCGTCGGCGGCCAAGCCTGAACTAAGTGCATGCCTATCAAATCCACCCAAACAGCCAACTGCTGCAGCAGTTCCGCCAGCACTGGTCGGTGATGCTGCAGCGAGGTCAAGCAGTGGCCTCCAACCGCAGGTTTGAACAAAGTTCATCACCAGATTCAGCGGAACACCATACAAGATCTATGAATTCTATAGTACAGCGCCCACAGACAGACACCGCCACTCGACCATCTACAGGATCACGGACCTCCATGACGTCTCAAGCCGGACAACCAATGCGCCCGCGGCAAAGGCGGATTGAGAGGTAGGAGATTGCCAGAAGAGCAGGAAAAGAGGTAGGAGGGCGAAGCGAAGCAGAGAACTTACAGGTATCCCAGCTAGGCAAGCGAGCCGATACTGGCAGGGACTGAGCCACTGAGGTTGTTATTAGAAAGATCACTGAGATGGCAGGAGGGAGAAACGAGGGAACGAGCGGATGGTGTGCAAAACAGGAGAGAAGTTGAAAGGGGGCGGACAGGCGATCGAACAGATGAGTGGAGGGGAGAGGGGAGCGAAGAAAAGATGAGCAGGGGAGAAAGGTGGTACGAAAAAGGATGTATAGCAATGGGTGGACGAATGGGATGCAGAAACACGCGGTGGATGAGAACAGGAGGCGGGGCATGACGGAGAGGAAGATGGGGGAAATGGGGTTGGGGAGGGGAGGGGGAAAGGAGAGAGAGGGGGAAGGAGAGGGAGCGGGGGCAGGGAAGGGGGGGTCGGGGGGGGAGATAGTGGGGGGGTCTGAATGGGAGGGACTCGTTGGAAGAAATAAAGGTGTTAGAAAGTAGCGCACAAAGAAAGCACAGCAAGGAGGAATGGGGCTTCGTTAAGGAACCATTGATCTAGAGCAAGGAGAGACAGCCATCTGCTTTCAAAGGAAAAGATGGGCTGAGTGGGGCACAAGGGGGGAAGGTGGGAGCAAAGGGACGGGGATGGTTGCTGAGAGGACGCTGGGGTGGACAAGGGAAAGGCGGGGAGGGGCACTCGGATGGGTGCACATGTGGAAGGTGAATGGGAGGTGGGAGATGAAACAGGACTCGCCTAGCTCTGCTCAGCAATGCCAAGAATATGGCCAACACCCCTTAAACGAAAGCAGCTCCCTCCCGCTTCTACAACAGTGCAGCATTCAAACGAAATGTGGATCCTCGACTGCTCCCTACTTCACACGACCTCAAGTAAGTCCAAGTTACCAAGATTTCTAATGCCAGTTGGAATGGGTCTGGTAAGCTCATTTCCTTGCCAAGCTTCTGTGTGGAAGAGGGTGAAAACCGGGCATGAATACTGCTCTGTTGATCTCCAAACTAGAGAGTGTGTGTAACAATCAGTGCAGTGAGACTGATAAAGTATAATAACGTGTTATAGGTAAACTTTGATGTGCACACGAAGCACGACTCTGCATGGTCTGCTGCAGCACGGCCTGGTGCTCGAGGTCTGAGGACATGGCTACGCCGAGCTGGTGGCCGCCTCGCTCGCGCGTGATGGACCTGAACCCACACGACCACCTCTCTCAGCAGTTGCCCTCCCATTTCGGCTGAGGCGGGCGAACGGCTACTGCTCGTCCCCTTCCGTCACTCGCTTCGCGACCGCTCTTACCTTAAACCTAGGCCTCCGCTTCCCCGGGGTGGATGCTGCCGCCTCAGCAAGAGTCGGCTGAGCCCGGGCTCGCCGTCGGCGGCCAAGCCTGAACTAAGTGCATGCCTTTTGAGTCGACTCAAAAGTCATCTCGTTAAAATGTCACACGGAACTTTCGCTTCAAGAAGAACCATTCTCGCTTGGAGGCTGCCGAAGAGATTTGGAAATTTTCTTATTTCTAATCATAAGTGTTAGACTATAGTATATTTGTACTGTTTTGTTTTTCTTTTTCCCTTTCCATCGTCGAGACCCCGCAGAGGAATACCTCGCGAGGAGTCCTCGAGGTGGTATTTATAGGCTAGCTAGTCTTGCTTATTTCTTTGTGGTCTGAAGAAGGCTCTCGAGCTGAAACCAGTTACCATCAAATCTTCAGAAAGATTTTTTCAAAAAAGCAAGCTCTACGCTCTGTTTTTACTTAAGCGTTTTCAAAAGTTGCTGCCACGTAAAGACCTATGGCACCCAAGTGGTGTTCACTCGGACTTTCTCTCGACCCTACAATGGCCAACTACAGATTCAACGCTACCAAACCAACACCAACCAGCACAAAGACTGACCGCTCTCCGACAC